ATCATCCAAAGTTTGCTCATTTTCTTAGGCTAACATCTAAACTCCCTATTAGGGTCTTCAAGGCCCAATGTGATCTGCCTCCCCACTCCCCCTCCTCATCTGTTTTGTGCTCTACCTAAAGTTATGATTTTCAAGATTTTTTATCCCATAAAGCTCTTCCCACCTCTAGTCCTTAATGATCGTGCTCATAACCACTTTCCAAGCACATAATTTGATGTAGCACCTCCTGACTCTCCCCCTTTCAAGACTTTGCTTTCAGAACTCACATACTTGAAAATCTGCCCAAAGAACGTGTTTTCTTAAGTAGGTTCCTCTCATTGATATCAATATCTCCTGTTTTCCATCAAAGCAATGATCAAAATATATAAGGTTACTATTCATAGGTTTAATTATTTATATCCTATTTCCCTCAACCACACAGGAAGGTTCATACCCATGAGGGCAACAACTTGCTGGAAATGTAATCCCTGGGAATCTCTAGAAGAAAATCAGAACAATAAGGCAAGACACAGGTAAATCCTAGGGTAGCATCCACTTGTCTTAGTTATTGTTCTCCCAGTATCTAACCAAGGACTTAATCACCTAATGAAAGAATGGGTAAATGAGTTAAGGATGAATGAATAAATGAAAGTCTTAGTGGCCAATGGCATAAGGCGGAGACATATTAGATTCTTAGACACATGAAATCTAGGTTGAATCCAAACACCAGCAGGCATCTTTATACAGAAGGTGTAAAAGAAAACCTCCACACAGCATTAGAGCCCAGGGTTCTTTCCTTGAATTCTTTCTTGGTCAGTGGATATTTCCTTCCCCAGGACAAACACAGGCATAGTGTCTAACACCCTGTCTTTTGAGGGAAGACAAGGACCATAACAATTCCCCAGTTGCCAGGTGTGGTGGCGCACCTCTGTAATCCCACTGGATTGGGAGGCTGAGGTAGGAGGACTGCAAGTTTTCAAGGCCAGGCTCAATAACTTAGTGAGGCTCTAAAGCAATTTAAGTGAGACCCTATCTCAAAATAAAAAATAAAAGGGGCTGTAGATGTCACTCAGTGGTTAAGCACCTTTGGGTTCAATCCCTAGTACCAAAATAATAATAATAATAATAGTAATAATAATTATTATTATTACTATTATTATTATTATTATTATTAAACTAACTCCCCAGTCACAATGAAACATCCCTTCCCCATTCTTCCTGAGGGTAGACATGCCACAGAGTTCTACTGGCAATTCCAGAACTGCTCCTATGTGTGAAAAAGCTCTTCCTGTGTCTACATGTCTTGATGTTCTGGGATTTAGACTTGCACTCACCATAGCACTGTCCATGTGCTGCTGGCATCCAGCTATAATTCCTCATTCTGAACAGGATGCATCTACTAGCATCCTGGCTCCATGCCAAAACTTGTTAATGCCACATCTCTGTTTTTAAGAATCAGGTCCTAAAAATTTGCATATGTTTCATTAGAAAAAGATGTATATCTTGCTAGTAATTTAAGAAATAAAAATGCTCTTATGTTCTATGTCTGCTCAAATACAAGATTGCACAGTAGGCACGCAAACATTCCAAATGTCAGGGCAGATGTGGCACTAGGTCTCACACGATGCCTTGGTTTGGTTCCTTGCTGCCCCATCTCACTGAAGTTCAAGGACCAAAGCACTGCTTGGGTAGTAGGGGTCCAAGGAAAGCACCTTTGTTGGATGGAAATGAAGTTATTTATTGACACAAATGACTGCCACATCAAGTGGATTTTCCAGGAAGAAAGTTATGGAGAATTGAACAGCTGCTTTTCTTGTATATTTTCAAGTGAGAAAATACAGTTAGGGCTCCAGGAGCACATTTTCACAGTCAAAAGTTGTAGGTTGAGGGGCCACGGCGAGAGGGCAGTGATTGGATACACATTGCTAGGATTCTCATGAAGGCAACTACCTGATGGAAATGTGACTCCATGGAGTCTTCAGAAGAAAACTAGAGCAATGAGGAAGCCACATGTATATCATTGGCCTAGAAAACAGAGATGTGCATGAGCTGAGGGGGAGGGCAGTAGAAAGCAATAAAAAGCAAAATCTAGGAATATGTGCTGGGTTTAAGTAACACACACTACATAATTTGTGGGGCTCAGAGCACAATGAAAATGGGGGGCCTTTTATCTGAAAAGTATTGAGAATTTCAAGATGGTGGCCAGAGACTTAAACTAAGAGCAGAGCCCTTCAAACCATAGTGCCCTATGAACTACAGAGGCCACATACTGGGATGAGAGTCACAGTAGGGAAAAGCTAGTTCTAAATTCTGTACAAAAGCAAAATTCTGAAAAAAAAAAAAAAAAGCAAACTTCCCCCAGTTCACTATGCTCTCAGAAAATACCATCCTTGAATGATCATAGTGAGACGGATAAATCATGCCGGCTTGGCATCCAGAAGTGGCAAAAAAGGGAGGAGTCGTCAGGGTTGTTATGCTAATTCCAAATTGTTGTAAATTTTAGAGGAACTTTTTCTAAATTATGATTCATTTCAGCACCAAAATTCCAGATTCAAGTCAAGCCTTCTGATGCTATTATGAGCACATTTACTAATGCCTAGTAAAATAACATCTTGTAATGTTTCCTTTATAAGGGCCATAAATCAAAACATTCAAAACAGTTAATTTTTAATGTACCACTATTATCCATCTTTAGTTATAAATTTAATGTCTCCTTAGGCCTCACAGATTGTAACGCAACTTAAAACATGCAGTGGCTATTTAAAAATAGAAGATTTCCCCAGTTATCTCGTTATTCAAATCCTTAAAGATACAGTTTTAAAAGCCTGAGGATATCTGAGCAAACTTGTTTAAAGGAGTCATAAAGAAAGATAAGTAGTTTTCCTCAGAAGCCAATAAAATTTATTACAACATATTAAAGTAGGATTATCTATTGACTAATTTTCTGTAGACACTTGTTTTCTGGGGTGCACAGTGTCTGGGGAAGTTCATGTAGAAATAAAGAGGATAGGGATCAACACCATCATCTACCTTTGCCTTGAACTAGGCAAGATTTTCTATGTCTCTTAGAGCCAATTCCTTCCTAAGGATGATGATAACAATGGGGATCATATCTCAGGGAATGGCACAGTGAATGTCATGAATCTTGAGAAAGAGCAATAAAAATCTTTATTTTTCAGCAGGAGACACAAATGCAGCTTTGCACTCTGATGCTTGCTTACAGCAAAGAAGTGACTTCCTAGAAGGGCTCTACTTCTTAAGGCAATTCTCAAACTTAGAACCTTTCTTTGTCTACCTAGTCCCTACATGTTAGGGGCAGGTTTTATATGTTTTCTTTTTAATGTTATAAAATTTTCTCATTTAACATTAATTGTCTTAGATCAATTTATACTTTCATTAGCAATGCAATGCTTCTCTGAAAGTTGTCCCTAGACAGTGAGAACCTCAAGGATTTCTCTGGTTTCCCCACTTCCACACATTGACAAGCTTCCCTTTGGAACCACTCTGTATCTGAAATTGTTGATTCCTGTGCTATTCCCCCTTTATCAAGAAAGGGAAAAGAGGTGAGTACCCAAAGGGAACACGAAGCAGCAAACGGATCCAAGAGGCATTACATCTTTGCTATGCTCTATCCAAAAACCAACCCTTGAGTGTTCCCTGTGGTCCCAAACACAGCAATCTGACACACTCGGGACCTACAGCATGTTCAACTAAGAAGTGAAACACAATAATGGTGCTGTCACCCATGGGCCAAACATTAGTTCTTGGTGAAAATTTTCCTGATCTCTCTAGCAGGTTTGAGAAAAGCAAGACTTGGTGAAGGGCATACATTTTTCAGTTATCCCAAAGAATAGTCCCAAACCTGTTGATTCTCCAGCAATGTGACATTTTATGTTTGTCTCAGAAAAAAAAGAGAGAGAGAGAGAGAGAGAGAAGAAGAAGAACTGCATGTGGAATACTTTCTGAACAACAACAAAAAAGATCCTCATACACAATCTCCACAATTCCTTGTTCTGAACCAAATGTCATGTGCAATGTCAAGTTTAAAAGTATTTTGTGTAACTATATGAACATTGAACTCCAGGGAATTTGTAACTTTGTGTTAAACACCCAGCAATATATACAGGATAGGAACAATTCCCAGCAGCAAAAGCTGCTGGAGCCCAATGTCCCATTTATGACCATGTGGTAATTTAGATGTGTCACTATTCAACTACGCAGAAAGGATGGGAATAAAGGGTGGCTTCTTACTAGCTCAAAATCAGCTTTTAAAAGAGTGCAACTCTGTTCAAAATGCAACATGTGTAATTTAAAATGCAAAGTTCCATAGAATTGTGAATTTTAAAGAAAGCAACAGATAAAATGTCAACAACGAGGCCTGCTAAAGTTAACATATCTGATCTAATCCATTTAAGAGTTACAGTTACCCATTCACCATTACTATGCCTTGATCCTTGTGTTTTCTTCAGCACTGCATAGAAGAGATAGCATAATCCATTAAATGGGCTTCTTAGAGGTGACAGTTTCAGCTCCATGAAGAGATATAGTTTTATTTTCCTTATTCCTTGCCAAACATTTGACACAACCAGAAGGACGTGAGAGTCACACCACACTGGCATATCTGGTAAAAGCAAGCAGTTGGCTGAAAACCACAACTGGAGAATTGCGACAATTTCTGAGTCCACAATCATGCCTTAAAAAGTGGTATGCATCCTACTAAGGGCATAGTTTGCATCTCAAATAACACAGAAACACTGGAATCGTGCTAAACCCAGCCCAAACAAGGCAGAGCAATAATGTGGTTGGGGAGGTGGGGAGGTGAGGAAGGATGGATGGGGCTCTTGGGAATGGTGAGGGTGCGCGGACATTCTGCGCTCACAGAACACAGTAGCAAACACAGGGCACAATCACAAACATCAGCAAGCACAACTGAGCACGCGCACAATACAACACTAGAATGCAATTTTTCTTTTTCTTTTTTGTTTTTTCTTAGAAAAATGATATAAAAGATGGTTTCTCACCCCTCAAAACAAAACTGGAACTTTGGTTTACAGGCCCGGCTATGCCCATATGCCCTCCTCGTCATCCTGCCGCCGGCCCGAGGTAGGGAGGTGCACAGAGAGGAGGGGAGCACCAGAATGAAAGAAGAGAAGGTTAGTTACACAGAGATGCACTGGAAAGGCACATGAATCTTCACTTTTTTTTTTTTTAAATCTTACAGAGCGAGGACCAAAATAAATAAATAAATAAATAGATAGATAAATAAATAAATAAATAAATAAATAAAATCTGTAGTAACTTAAGTTCCACGTGACTGACTTGTCAAATGCATAAGCAAGTTTTGTATCTATGGCAACCCCCACACAAAAACATTTCACCCACCCAGTTCTGATTCTGTGTCAAGATTGGATTAGAAGATTAAAATTAGTCTACATTAGCAGATGATTATTTTTTGGAAAGCATACAATCTGAATTGCATATGCCTAAGGAGTAGATTAAACCTTTAAAGTAAGCAGAGAAGTAATTATAGTAATCAAATACTCTTAATTTCTCTTAAGCTTAAAGTATCAATAAAGACTGAATATGAACTTAAAAAAAAAAAGAAAGAAAGAAAGAAAGAAAATCTCCATCTACCCGGGTGGAACAAGCTTTTTTTGCATGCAATAATTCATATTGGTTATTTCACAAAGACAAAAGAATACTTCAATCTTATTTTTCAAGTTCTATTTTGCTGTCAGCATTAAGGAGGATGTGCATGCCATGGAATGATTATACATTTGCATGAAATGATTATACATTTGCAATCAAATAAGTTTAAAAGAGAGTAAACGTTCAATTCAGTAGAATGCTTATAGAAAGGAAGTTTTGTTTAACTTAACATTTTGTTCAACTGTGGATAAACTGAAACTAATTTGGTCTGAATCCTTGCTTAAAATATTCCCAAAATGGCCTGGCCACTTTCTTCTCTTAGTCCAGAGACCAATATGCAGGAAAATGGAATCTTTGAAGACAGAAGTATATTCGCCATCATAACATCTCCATTTTGAACAATTTTTCCTGTTTACCGGGAGAACTGACACAAAGTATATAAGACTGTGTGGTCCATATCCCAGTCTCACACACACAGTTTGGAAGCAGTGTTTGTTATTTAATAAATCCCAATGAAACCAGAATTTACTATGATTTTCTTCTTTGTTTTGAAAACCAGGGACAGGAAAAAAAGATTTTTTTTTCACATAAATCCTTATTACTCAAGCTGTTATAATATTAGGTTGAATCATATGAAAATGCCAATATTTAACCATTTTTGACCTGGAAAAACAGTAATTTCATATAGTTCAACCCTATCTTGCTAGTAAGTCAAGGTAATTTTTATCTACCTAAGGATTTAGATGTGTGGTATTTGAACTGACTCAATATAATTTCTTTCCTTTGTCACTCTATGTATTTTACTTTATGCTTTTAAAAATGTTATTCTAAGAAGAGATTCAGAAAGTTCACCAGACTGCCAAAGGGCTCAATGGCCCACAAAGGGACTTGAGTTAATCAAAGAATTTATACAGAATCTGAATTGGGCAATTTGGGATGATTTTTCTCTTAAGAGTTTGGGTAGGGATATTCTGGGGGAAAAAAAAAAGACACATTCATGATTTTGGCTAGGTCATCTTACATAAAAATTACTGTTTGTTTATTACTTGGTCTAGTAATTGCTCCTAGCAATAAACTTTCCTTCTCCTACATGACTTGAGAAAAATATAATTTTACATGCATTGAACTTCCTCCCTATCTCTGGAGAAAGGCAAAGTTGATGTTCTTTTTATGGTCATAAAGAAGGAAAGCATAGGACTGGGGATGTGGCTCAAGTGGTAACGCGCTCACCTGGCATGCGCGAGGTGCTGGGTTTCATCCTCAGCACCACATAAAAATAAAATAAAGATGTTGAGTCCACCGAAAACTAAAAAAATAAATATTAAAAAATTTATATCCCTCTCTCTCTCTAAAAATAAATAAATAAATAAATAAATAAATAAATAAAAAGAAGGAAAGCATACATAACATGAGACCCAAGAGCATCCACAAGTGGGTTTCAGGGGGTCTAGAAACCCCCTGAAATTCAATGTAGAAAGCTATTGAGTGTGCATGTAAAGAGACTTCTCTGATTAAAGGCCTGAGCTTTCATCAAAAGGTTTTTGACCCCCAAAGGGCTGCTGTAGGAAAACTCCAAGCACAGAAAGATGCTATCATTTGCCAAAATCACAAAACAGGAGGCTTTCTCTAAAATGCAGCCTATGGCCCCTGCTGACCCCATCCTAAATGGCTGTAAAACAACTTTCCTTTCAGATTTGTTTATTTCATTGTGTATTTATAACTCAATAGCATATATACATGCAGTTTCTTCCAAATTCACTCATATGGGTTTTTAATTGAATAATAAAAAAATAGGAAAAAGAAAAGCTACTGCCACCAAAATCTACTGCTACTTTCTTAACAGTGAAATGTAGTCTAATGCAAGTCACTTTAAGAAAATTAAATATATTAAAAAGTGGTAATTAATTATGATTGAATCAGACAGGAGTTGTAGCTTGAAAATATACACTGCCAATATCACTACTGTTCCTAGTCCAACATAGGAATAAAAAGGAGCTCCCACATGTCGAGGGTTATTAAAAACCAGATGTTGAGATCGACGTCTTGTACGCTGGTGAATAAAGTAAAGAAATATGACAGTCCAACATAAACTGTGCTAACATTTAACATGGCAGAAATGTGGGTGAATTCCTTTTGTGAACTCAGAATATTATGCATTTTTAAAAGTTTTCATTTTTAAAGTTGAAAGAGTTCTTAAAAGAACTAGAAAGGGAAGTAGAGATCATTTCTGATCTCTCTAGTCTTCAAAGTGTAAACATGAATTGACCCTCATCACCAAGTGATTTGGGTCAGAGTGAGTGTCCATTTGGGGAATAAAAAACAAAAGTGCAGGAGCTGATCAGAGAGGCAGCTCCGTGTCGTCCAAACATTTGCAGCTGTCTCACTGCCCTGCTGCCTGCATCTCTGTGTGCAAATATTAATTTCTTCAGCAACCTTACCACACAGAAATGTAAATCTGGGAACCCCAAAATAAGAAACAGATAAGTATCACTTGCTCTCTCACTATATGCCAAGTTATTTAGAAATACTTGGATTTTTAAAAGGCATCTATCAAACATGGGAGAGTCTGTTTCCTTTCCTTGTTTTTCTGTTTCCAAATCGACTCTGTAGCAGTTCTTCTGGATGCTGCCTAGTGCTTGATCCCTTGTGTGTCCTTTGAGAGTCACTGCTCTGCCAGAAGTTGCCAAAATATGTGGATGGGAAGAAAGGCTCTGGCCCAACAGTCATTTGTGTGCTTTTGTCCACAGCATCTGAGGCTGAAAACATCCAAGGTGGACTAAAGCCCAGAGCACAGCGTCCACAAAACAGCAAGATTAAAGAGGAAGGCAGGCTTCACTATCAAGTAACCTCAGGATGTATCGATAGCTCAAGGGATGATGGGATAGACAAGAGGCTGCATGGAAAGCCCAGATGCTGGGCTCTAATAAGATCYTCTAAACACCAAGATAAAACAAAACTCCTCACTGATCAACAGCTCTCAGTGGCTGTGTTGATGACAAGATTGAAAAGCAAAGAAACTGAGTCATTGCTAAAGAGAGTCTTGCTGTTGTGGGCGGCATTTATTAGCCCCAGCAAGAAAGTTCTGAGCAGGAACTCTATAATAGGACATTATAAACAGTATAAACTGATATACACTTTTCATTGATCTGTATTTTGATATATTAGATACAGCCAGAAGGCAGACCCAAGTCTTTTCAAAACACCTGCATTTCCCTTTGAGTTAATAGCCTGACTCTTTCCTTGACATAGGAGGGCCATATGTCTAATGAGAAACTTAGAGTCACACCTCTCCTAGGTAGAAAGGAGGGTAGAATGAGGGAAGCGTCATTTTCAAATAGCCCACTGCCTTTGTGGCAACTCACTGGCTGTCTCTGCCAGGAGGTTCAACCTGACTTCCTTGCAGGACAATTAGGAAAATCATAACTAGGTCTGAGTGGACCGAATCCGGAGCAACTCTCAGTTCTTGTGGCTTCTCTGAAATTTCAAGCTCTGAAAAGCCTTCCTCTGCAAATCACAAAGCAGGACCACAAAATGGGATTCATGATGTGCCCTGAGGCTGGATTTAAGCAAAGCAGATCCTCTTGACATTTCTAACTATAGGCTTGGCCAGCACAGAGAATGGACAGATATGTGTGAAGGAAAATGACAGGCTTAGGTGTGAGCCTGGAAAAGAAAGGCAGTGACCTCATCAGGACACTATATTTTCTTCCAAGTTCAAGTCCATACTTTCCCTCTAGAGATTACTTATTGGTGTCTTCCATCTCTCCTACCCCCTGCATAGCTTAGCCAATGGATAAATGTTTCTGTTCAGGTGATGGGTCAGGTATTACCTGACTTATATTTGCTATATCCTGCAGGACCCCCAAAATAGGAAAGTCCTATCCAGGTTCAGATACCTGCTCATTGATCTTTTTAAATACCCAGGCCAGAAAGAGCTAACTTGCATTAGTGCCTCCTCTCAGAGAGAGTTCTGGCAGCTGTACCTGTTTCTTCACAAGTCTCACCTTGGCCCAGAGACACAGGTGAGGGTTCTTGTGCAGCTGTGGGAAGAAAGGTTCAGGGACAGACACCTGGCCAGGAGCTGTGGAGTGAGGGTCAGATTCCAACCTAATGGCAAAAGTACACACACCCTTTTGACTCTGCCATATGAGCTGCAAAGTCACAGAAAAAAAGAGCTCTGTTTGCCCCCAAATGGTGTTTGTTGGTCTGCTGAGCTCAGCTCTGAAGGACTCTGAACTGTGAACTGCCCTTTTTTCAGATCTCTTTTGAACCTTGGTTGGAGGGAGACACTACAACTTCAGCTGGGTCCCTCTGTGCTTTCTTGAAAGAAAAGGGGTCCTCATGTGCTACTGCAAGCGTACATGTATGGATTATCAGTGGCACCTGACCAAATTTTAAGGACCTTGGGGGAAAAGGCAGCACCTTTACTTCCTTCATT